TAGATTTTTTTTTGTTTTTGTTATTATTATTCTTATTTAAAATGAATATTGAAATAAATATAAATATCTGCAATTAAATTGATAATAATTTTAAGAGCTTTAAACAAATTATAATAATTTTTCGGAGTATCTCATTGAAGTTTAGAAAAGAATAAAAGGCTATATATTATGGATGAATAAAAAGAAAACACATATTGTTATATGTTAAAAAAATAAAGATGGAAAAAATAATTATAATAATACAAATAAATTAATTTAAAAACTATGTTTTATTTTTATTTTTTTGGGAAAAATAAACTATGTTTTATAGATAAATAAAAATCTATTAATAATAAATAAATAATACAAGTGACTTATTTATATTTTAATATTAATCGTATATATCATATGTATTGAATAATATGAAATTATTGAGGCAAAACACGTGTGGAGTTGGACTTTGCGTGTGGCAGTCGGCAACCTGCCTTAGTTGTCGCGCAGAGATCATGTCACCCTGCTAGCTAGTCAAGGGAAGGGAATTTATTATTATTATTATTATTTTTTTTTTTTGGATATTATTTTTTTTTTTTTGGAAAATTAGATATTACACAAATGTAATATTAATCGGATGATAATATTATATATAATATGAAAATTAGATATTCCTCCAGTGATAATATTATTAGTAAAATAGTCAGGCCAAAATTTTTAAAAGAGTGCTCAATTGTTAGATTATTCCTTATAAGGAATGGCTATTCTTAACAGTGAAAGAATTGGTAAAATTTTAAGGAGTACAGTTATTAATATAAATTAGTACGAGTATGAAATGAATAAAATTTAAACATGAGTAAACTTATCATTTATTTAATAGAATACACTTTCAAGATCTACAAGAGGGAATCATTTAGAGGAAAAATGGGTCCAATAAATCATTGCAACCTTCGTTGCCCGCCGATTATGATCTCTCCTACCACCTTTGCCTGCCGACTGCAATCCCTCCAGTCATCGTCGCCCAAGTACAGTCTTGCCAACCAAACAAAAAGGCAAACGTTATCTTGAGAGAATGGCTTCTTGATCATTGGATTTTTCTAATCCCATCTATTTAATGTGCACTATATGATATAGGTAGAAAGGCATTCACTTTGAGGAAGGGTACCATTTGCAATAGACTACAAACACTAGGGGAATCATTTTAACTAGGCCAAATCCCATTGTTTTTCTCCTTTCCAAGGGTTTCCATATAAAAATACTATTGTTACTTATAACTCCTGCACCCCAATCTCTCTCTCTTTATCTGTATGTGTTGAATATTCATTCAAAGTTAAGACGTTAAGCTCCTTATCTCTCTACCGCCATGAGTATTCCAGTATGCAACAAGGATCAATTTAGCTTTTTTTTTTTTTTTTTGAGCCAGACCGCTCAATCCAATATTTAAAATCCAATGACTCAGATTTCACTCTGTTTAAATTGCTCGGCTTTGAAAAACCAGACCTAATTCTCTGGTTCGTTAATCCGAGCGTTTCTTTGCAAATCTAATTTCACATAAGAACCGAAGCAGCTGGCCAGCCGGTTCATAGTTAAACCGGTGTGTCTGGTCTGATTTTAATAACCATGAATATGTGCAACATCTCAAGATGACAATATAATTTTAATTTATTACTTTTTATAGTCAAATACTTGAAAAGGAGATCACCGGACAATCTTCTTCCAAACAAATAATGAAACAGTCGGCATTTCTTCGGGAACTCAATTAAAGTGCAAAAATTTTCTACAAATTTGATACATCATCAAAAAATTATTTTGATCGGGCACGAATCTCGATGGAAAATTGAGTTGAAACTTCTAAAATTAATTCAGAGACCATCTCAATTCCGATTTCAGCAAACTTATAGTCAAACTGAGCGTCTCGGAAATACGAACCCAACGACACCAAGTTCGACCCAATCCGAGACCAAATGGGTCCAAATCATAGACCCGAAGCGTTATTGGAAGGTTCAAACCACAATTTGACTTACCAAACGAACTCCGATTTTGACGAGCTTATACTCAAATCGAACAGCTCGACGAGACGAATCCAACGAGCCCAAGATCACTGAATTCTGACATCACTAAGGCCCTCAAATGACCAACAAACGGTGCATGATCGTAGGATTCAATATCGGCCATCCATTCGACCACTCCCTATTCACCCCCGATCTCACATCTATTTACGGGCCATGCCACTCCAGAAAATCTATAAATAGAGCCCTCATTCTTCACAAGAGGGGGTCAAAGCAAGAAGAGAAGGAAGAGGAGAAGGAAGAAGCTCCTCCTCGACCACCGCATGAGCCTCGCAGGACCACCGCCGGAGCCTCGCCGCACCACCATCTCAAGGCTCGACGTTCAGGTCCGACATTAAGGCCCGACGTTCACGCCCGACGTTCATGCCCGATGTGCTACTGAAGGCCTGACATTCAGGCCCAACGTTCTGCTCAAGGCCCGACTTTCAGGCCTGACGTCTTCATCTGAGGCCCTCACCTTCTCCAGAAGCCCTCACATTCGTCAAAGGCCCTCACCAACATCTGAGGCCTTCACCTTCACCTGAGGCCCTCTCCTTCGCCAGAGGCCCTCATCTTCGCCAAAGGCTCTCTCCTCTGCTAGACTACCACCTTACGCCGTTGTTTTGTCGGAACACCATTTGAGGCCTGGACTTTTGCTGGGCCAATACCTGACGTCCAGAGTTCTACTAAAGTACCGCCCTACTACAACGGTCTTTCAGACCCCAGTCTCCTACCGACCACGGTCCTTCAGGCCTTCGTCGCCTACTATGTTCCTTTTGACCTCCATTAACAGACGACGGTCTTCCTGACCCCGGTCTCCTGCCGACCACGGTCCTTCCGACCGGACAAACATGTATATGTAATTCCTACTATGTAATGCAATCTGCATGATGTACATTTGTTACATCAATCCAAGGCCTTCTCCCAAGGAAGAGCCTCATTTGTAACAACTACAAATACTAGTGGATTCATTCAAACTGGGCCAGGCCCCGTGGTTTTTCCCCCTTTTAAGGGGTTTTCCACGTAAAAACTCTGGTGTCTCTTATGAATGTTTCACCCCCTCACTTATCTGCTTGTGTGCTGGATCTTCGTACAATGCTAAGACGTTAAACCATATATATTTCTCTACCGCCGCGAATATTCCAGGACGCAACAAAAATAATTGAAAAGCATCTGGGTAGCAGGTTACTTGATCAATTAAATATAATATGTACAAATGGACCCAATCCTGCATGCATGTAAGCTTTTAAATCAGCCTTTTTACACTGTGCTGAGAGAAAAATCAATGTCAGCTTCATATTGATCATGAACAATCCCCTCCTTTAATGCCCAAAACTTTCTCCCTCCATTCATTTAAGCCCTCTTCTTCATTTCAGACAGATCATAGAAACGCAGCATTAATGTGAGAGAGCAGGAGAGCCTGTAAAGGTTACTGAGCTCTCCCAGACTCGGTTTCCCAAACATTAAATTGTTCTAAGTTGTAACAGTATAAAAAATAAAAAAAAAAACCCACCGAAGTTTAGGGTGACTGATGAGCGAGCACAGTTGAGAACCCCCTATTTTAGATATGTATCTCCTCTACTACGGCCTCGCCTCTTCAATGGAACAAAGCAAGTTTGGGTCTGATGCCAGGAGGCGGCCTCGATAGGTTTTACTGAGAGATTAGTTACGCCAGCAAACATATCCTTTAGAGTAATAACGGGTAAATACGCTGGTTCCAAAAAGATATAAAAATAAGACTTTTGGCTTGGAATGGTGTGTATTAAAAATAGTTATTGGTTCTACTAAATTTTGGTAAGTTAACTTATCAAATAATAGTTTGATTAATATTAACTTAACAATATATTTAAATAACTTTATAATTAAAAACAACTCCATGAAAGAGTCCTGAACACAACATTTTGACTTATTTATTAAGTCGGACAATACCCCGAATTTGTAGTATTGGAATAGATATAATTTCAAACTTGGATTAAGAATTTAAAATTTTGATAATAAGAATAATTTTTTACAAAAACAATGATTCAACAGTCAAAATCTACCTAAAAGATTTTAAAAACACAAACAAATAGTAAGTATCATAGAACTACATGATTTTTTAAAATTAAGGTTGCCTTTGTTTCCAATCCAACAAAAATTAATTCATAACAATTTTCATTTACTTATGCATTTTGAATAAACATTTGGCAATTATTTATCACGTTATAGGCTTCATTTCGCAACTGCTTTCTTATAAAATTTATAATTCTAAAAAAAAATTATACTGAAAATTGCTTTGAAAATAGTAAATAAATAATCCCAAATGAAATCATAATGTTAACCATAAAGCATTGATCCATGCAAATACCATCCCATAGTTTCAAATTGCTGCGATCAGCTGGCCCTTTAAAAATGAAATTAGCAAAACATTTGATCAAATCATGCAAATATTTAATTTTTTGTTGACAAATGAACCTGAATTTATGCATGATATTGGAAAAACTATTCTACGCAGAGGCTAACCGCGTAACATCATCCGAAGATCAACCAGAATGCACCACATCAATAGTGTCAAGTCACAATACAAAGAAATACTAAGCCGCGGTACCGAGCAAAGGAGTCACGTGACACATTCTGATTGATCTCTGAATGACATTCAACATCCGCGCAGAATAAATAATGCTGATGTTAACCTATATTCAATTGTTCTTTGAACTAATATCTGATCATGAATTGTCTCTTGAGATGGATTGTCAATTACAAATAACTTCATGATAAACTCTTAAAATATTAACTTCATAAATATTTCCTTGGAAACATATCTCCTGTTTCACAAAATTATTGTATTCGCTATATAATAATAATAATAGTAAAGATAATACATATAAATATACACACCATGACATGTAAATCACTTATAAAAACTCATTAAATTGCACAAAGAAATTCCAATCGCTTTCCAAATGTGACAACAGCTAAAATTAAAATGTCAATCCTGAGTTATATAGGAATGGATCAAAATCTAAAGCATTAGCATACCCTGCTGTTCATTATTATCACAAATAAAGCACATTTGCATATCGAACTGGACATATGGAGAAGTTAGCAGGAGCTATATCCAAAACAGTATATATATAAAAATAAATAAAATAAAAACTCACATGAGAGAGGCATACAATGCCATGCTAGGGCAATCACAAAAGGTTTAATTATGCCCAAGCCAAATTTTTGGAACTCATCATTTGTCAATTGCAAAGGATAATTGGACAGATAGCACAAATTTGGCTCTAATATTCTAAGCAGCAAAAGTGTAAATACTATGAAATTGAAGAGCTTACTTCTTCACCTCCTCGTATTCTGCCTCAGGAGGCTGATCGCCGCCCTGAGAGCCCTGAGAACCACCCGCTCCTCCAGACATGTGCTGTCCTATCTTCGAAACTGCCTTGTTTGCGGCGTCAAGCTTCGCTTGGATCCGATCAATATCATCTCCGGCGATTGCTTGGCGAAGCTCAGCCACGGATGACTCAATCTCTGAGGCAACCTCAGCTGGGATTTTATCCCTGTACTCACTCAGGCTCTTCTCAATGCTGTAGATGGTTGTGTCAGCACTGTTGCGGATGTCAATGAGAGCTTTTCTTTCCTTATCTTTTTGTGAGTGTAACTCAGCCTCCTTCACCATCTTCTCAATCTCATCCTCAGAGAGGCCGCCGGAGGACCGGATGGTGATCTGCTGTTCCTTTCCGGTGGCCTTGTCCTTGGCAGAAACAGTCACAATTCCATTTGCGTCGATATCAAAGGTGACCTCGATCTGGGGCATGCCTCGCGGTGCTGGTGGAATGCCGACGAGCTCAAATTCACCAAGGAGCTTGTTGTCGGAAGCCATCTCACGTTCACCCTGGAGGACACGGACGCCAACCTGAGTCTGATTGTCAGCGGCGGTAGAAAACACCTGAAAGAAGAGAGAGACAAGATGAAAATAACTTTTTTATAAAAAATTGACAGGAATTTGTACCGTGATGGATCCGGACAAAATGATCCTGTAATAAAATAAGTCTGGCATATCTTTTGATCAAAAACCTGATGACACGCATGGAACAAGAGTAAAATAAAATCTAGGAACAATATAAAAATCGAGTGATACCAGCTTAAGACATGCATTAGCTAATTTAATCTAAAAAAACGGATCAAAAGAACGTCCTGTTTGGACTTTACTTCAAGATATTCTTGGGGTCAAGTGTTATGAATTCTCAATTTTCATTTGCTATTGTAGAGTATTGCAACCAATTCTTAGCAAAACATTTTTAGCAACTTATATCTTGACATTTTTATGTCTAACCTTTCTCATTCATAATATTCTGACTTTAATTTTAACAACTTGTCTAATAGATAGATTTTCTACCATTTGTTAAACATCTAAACCACCTTTATGTATATTTCAATCAACTTATCTTCAATAGATATTCCTGTATAATATAATCCTTATTTATTTAAACTTCACAATTTCACCCTAAATTCATCTTAACATTCTCATTTTTGGCATAATGAATTTTTTACAGCTCAACATTTCTCAATTAACACAACATTGCAGCCAATTTATGATAAAATGTACTGCTAACAGTCAGAATGACAACAATCTATAAAGTAATGGGTTTGGAGTTCATGACCAGCATCTTAAGTGGCTATGAAAACAGAAAAAAAAAAAATTAACTAAAAAATTTTCCGAGCAATCACAAAGGAGTTCAGTAGCTCAAATGCCTTTCAAAGTACAAAGAGAGTCCAAAATTTTAATATTAGACAAGCAAAAAGTATGAACTCACCTGACTCTTCTTTGTAGGAATGGTAGTGTTCCTGTTGATCAATCTGGTAAAGATGCCACCAAGTGTCTCAATTCCAAGAGATAATGGAGTGACATCTAAGAGAAGCAATTCCTTGACATCTCCTCTAAGAATACCACCTTGAATGGCCGCTCCCAATGCAACAGCTTCATCAGGATTCACACCTTTGCTTGGGATCTTCCCAAATATTTCTTGAACTACTTCCTGAATTTTAGGCACTCTGGTCATACCGCCCACAAGAAGGACCTCATCTACATCTTTAGAAGCTATCCCAGCATCCTTTAAACAACTCTTGCATGGACTTCTAGTCCTCTCAATCAAACTATTCACCAAGGACTCAAATTTTGATCTTGTCAAAGTAATATTTAAATGCTTTGCTCCTGATGCATCAGCTGTTATAAATGGGAGGTTAATCTCAGTCTGTGATGTTGAAGAAAGTTCAATCTTGGCCTTTTCAGCAGCTTCACGAAGCCTTTGCAAGGCTAACCTGTCCTTTGAGAGATCTATTCCCTCTGTCCTCTTGAATTCACTAACCAAGAACTCCAACAATGAATTATCAAAATCTTCTCCACCTAGGAACGTGTCACCATTTGTAGCCTTAACCTGAAAAAGGTATCAAAAACCATATATCATAACCAGGTCTTAATAAAGTTCCATATTTCCATCACTGAAAGGGTACACTAAGAAGAACAAACCTCAAACACGCCATTTGAAATTTCCAAGATAGAGACATCAAAAGTTCCACCTCCAAGATCAAAGACTGCAATGAGACCCTCCTTGTTATTCATCCCATAAGAAAGAGCTGCAGCAGTTGGTTCATTGATTATCCTTTGCACATCAAGGCCAGCAATTCTCCCAGCATCCTTTGTGGCCTGCCTTTGAGCATCATTGAAATATGCTGGGACAGTTATCACTGCCTTTGAAACTGATTTTCCCAGGTAGGATTCAGCAGTTTCTTTCATCTTCGTTAAGATAAAGGCACCAATCTGACTGGGGGAATACTGCTGTCCATTAACCTCAACCCATGCATCTCCATTGGGAGCCTTTACTATCTTATAAGGAACCATCTTCATCTCCTTCTGAGTTTGAGGATCATCATATCGGCGGCCAATCAATCGCTTGGTTCCAAAAACTGTGTTAGTTGGATTGGTCACTGCCTGTCGCTTTGCAGGAGTCCCAACAAGAAGTTCACCCTTTTGATTGAAAGCAACAACTGATGGTGTGGTCCGTGCTCCTTCAGAATTCTCAATAACTTTGGGATTCTGCGACATACAACATTGAAAGGGTGAGGAGTTTAAGATAACACAAAGATATCAAGACCTACATAAGCATCCAAGAGGCCAACCTTTCCCTCCATAACAGCTACACAAGAGTTGGTCGTCCCCAAATCTATCCCAATTACATCATTCCCAGCAGGTTTTGAACTGAATTATAGGAAACACACAAAAGGAAGTGATCTAGCGTAAAGTGATTTGCAATCATTAAGATAAGTGAATCTATAAAGGAGTTTGAGAACCACCTGAATGGTCTAGCAAAACTTGCCCATCTGCTGCTCGGATGAGAACTAGTCCAAGATGGCTTAGTGATTTCAGGAAGCTGCAAAAAAAAAAAACATAATCAGCTCAGCAATAACATTATTATTAGCTTTGAAACAACTGAAATCCAAATGCCTTTTGGAAAAAAAAAAAAATTCAATATAATTTATTCATCTAAACAATAACTTTCCTATCAACACTGCTGTAAGAGTACCAATAAAAAACTTCACCTAGCACTGAACTGTACAACACAACTCAAAAACCACAGTAACTGGTGACATTATGATAGGAAATACTTGAGTTCGCAAGTAACCCTAATGGGAAATACTTGAGTTCGCAAGCAAATCTAACATTAATTGGTGAAAACAGCAAGAAAACTCCAAGATCTCCAATGAAAACAATCCAAAATTAGTAGATTGTATTATAGGAATCAAATCAAAAGCAAGAACAAGCAAAAATACAATTGATCCTCAATTTGAGAGGAGAATCATTCTCTCCCAATCTCTAGATGATGAATCTAGAGCCCAAAGCCACAAAGAGAACTCCAAGAGATAACAATAATCATGCATGCCCTAACCCTAGCCTCCCCTCCTCTTTTAATACATATCTTCCTAATAAAAAACAATAAAAAGCTTCCTAAAATAAACCAAATTCAAAATAGTTTCCCTATGCATTAGCCGCCCCCTTCCCTCTCTCTAATTGCTGCCCTAGAGGGGCCCACATGCTTGGGCGGCTTTTTAAGGAGGCAGCTTAGCCCGCTTCCTATAAACCCGAACCGGCCCAGGCTGGGCCGGTTTGGTCGGTTCAGGAAGAACCTAACACATTACCAGCTAAAATTCATGCCTTAGCTCTTAACAGTTGGCAACAAATATGTACCGCCATAATTAAAAATGCAGTACTAATCAAGTAAGTAGCACAGAAAGGGATGTCAACAGCACAAAAAATGCACACAATGCAATTACTGCAAGAATTGGAGATGCTTCAACCCCACAAACCTACGTATTAAAAAATCATTGAAATACATGCATACATGCTATGGCATCGGTGAAACTTACAGAGTACACACATCCATCCTAATGAGTCATATTATAATTAATCAGTTCCCCATCTATATACGGTTATATGCCATTAAATGGATTACATAACATCGCTAAGTATGCACAATGCATCTCTCCCAAAGTGCACCAAGATTTGCTCTTACAGAACTAAAATGGCGATGTCAAGCCTCTGGACCATCATCAGACAATTTTATCACTTCTGAACTGCAGTTGGTCATGTTTCATGTTTGATAAGTCCTCTACCAGCAAACAAAGCCAAGTTTCACATGAGAGTTTTCCCTTGGCATATTATTAACCTGATCCTTAGGTGATCACCTTAGAACATGTTGCCAAAATTGCTATTAAGGTGCCCAACAAATTCCATCTAAGATTTGTTAAACACGGCTTAAATACACTATAAGCTCACTAACTAGAAACAAATAATCATGGCAAGCTTCTAGAATTGCATCCGCAACTGCAACACACATCTCCCTGAACTGAAGATATAGCCACCAGGGCACCGTAAGTCCTTGGATTGGGTGGCTGTGTCCACTCAGTGATACATGGATAACAGAACAATAGATCTTAACAAGGTTTCTACCTTCATACCCAAAAACATCTTCCTCACACAAGAAGCAATAGAGGGAATAAAATATATGACTGCTACAAAGAGAATACTCATAAGGAACCAGGCAAAATGATATCCTTAACTGAGAGTTTGCAATGGATAATTAATTTTGGAAGCTTGCACTCAAATAAAGTCTCAACCCTAGATCTAAATAAATTCCTGACATTTATAGTCAAATTTAATAATACCAATCTGCTTCTTGAAAGTCTTATTTTACAGTTCAAATAAACAAGTGACTTTTTTAATTATAAATTCAATTAACTAAATGTTCACAAGTACAACTGAATTGCTAGTATTTGCAAGGTAATAAATAAGACAATATAAAATTACTTCTATAAATATAAACAAATGAATCAGTTCATAAAGAACCATAATGGTTGCAGCTTAATCTCTTCACTTGGTCTTCATTTGGTATAATTGTGCTTTTGTGGTGTTACATATAACAAAATTGTTATAAATTAAAATTGAATTTCATGTTTAGCAGGGCAAAACAAATGAGACCTTCATCTATGCTATAAGACCATATTATGACCATCAGAATATCATCCATTGATATTACCTCTTGATATGAAGCATACAGCATAATGGCATAAATTCTTTTTCTCATGAGATCCATCAAAAGAAAAAAAAAAAAAACAGTCAAACTTAGCTATAAATGGTTTCACTTATTTCTTGCTTAACTTTTTGAAAAACGACTTGTTTAATATAAGAAATATAGTTAGAAATTAATTTTGTGTGTGCACCTTCTCTATGACGTCATAAGCATTTGGACTGTGTTATGGAGCAAATCATATTTCAATATGAGAAGCTATGATTTTATTTCATATAATGAGCCTAATAAACCATATGTAGGTGGACAAATCTTGTCTACTAAAGAAGGCAACAGGAAAAGCATAGGCACCACAGGTTCGCAAAGTACAAAGATTGGGAAACTACTATTCCTGAAAATTACACAAAAAAAAAACGCGGCAAAAGAAAAGATATATAACACACATAGTAAGTGGTACAAGTTTTATAGTCATTTGATCATATGATCCACATCCACTATAAGGATGATTAAGGATTTTTACTATGTATCCAAGAAGTACAAAAAAGAATTATCATTATATCAAGCTCTTCCTAAAAATATAATGAAGTAGAAGATAAATTATAACATGGCGATGTATGGCAAGAATAAATGTTTTAGAGATCCGAATTAAAATAGATTCAAAATAAAAGAAAGAAGAGCAACAAGCATTGATCAAACATGAGAATGATCAGAAATATAATATGTAATTATGTTCAGGTGGCCTCCTTTCTCCTCATCCAATTGTCCCAAAAAAGGTCCCTCCCACCTAAATGAATTACATTTCATTTTTTTAGTGACTGAAATTTTATGGTTGCAAATAAATTTTGAAATTACTCCCAATTATGATGGCATTTCCAGAGCTTGAGGTGAGTTTGATAGCTTTGTGGCCCATGGAGAACTTCGATGTTAGTAATCAATTTAGGGTAATAATACTCGATTCGAGTAGATTCCATTTGATCAGATGAATTAAATAATTAATTAGGCGCCAAAGGAATGTTAGAGCACATCATTAATATTTCATTCTACAAATTTGTCATCTTTAGTCAGCAACTTACAAAATGCAAGCTGCAAAGCTGTTGGGGTGGCCCGAGGTATTCTTGAGACGGATTGCATAGTGGTTGAGTTGAGACCTTTCTCGTGGAGAGTCAAGGAGATGCTCAAGCCAAGTCTTTTCTTGAGGAACCCAAAGACACGCTCAAGGTCCATCTCGTGCTAGTAAGGAAAAATTGAATATTGGGGTTACATCTAAAACACGTCTAAGGCAAAGATTAAATCTAAAACCTTCTCAATTACTTAGGATTACACCATTGATCATTTATCATCTTCAAAATTGCTAGGCTTGCCCTAAAAATTTGAGGCAAATCTTAATAATTGTTTTAGGTATCTTTATTCACATAGTTTTTGAAGAAATCCTTATAAATTATTGCATTTAGCAATAAGTTTCATCATAATTCTAATCCTAACTATATGTGGTCATCTTTATGAATCCTCATTTTTTTTTTATTAGCCTTTGTTGAGTGCTGCATAAGGTACTAAACTGATTTTGTGCAAATCTTTGATCTCTAGCATTTCCCTCATAATTATTTATTTTTATTTCACTTGCCTGTGTTATTGTCACATCTTCTACCTATCATTGTACACGCGCAAAACCACTGAAGTCTAATTTTTAATATACTATCTCCAATAGATGATACTCGCACCATACATTTATTATTTTATATAATAATTGCTCCGCAATGCATACATCCTACTTTGCATTAAAACACTCATTCGAAAAAAAATCATGTCGGCAAAAATATTAGATGTTTTAACCTTTAGAAAACACTTCAGCAAAAGCTCCCACATCGACATCCCTTTCATCTTATTTTCAGATAATGAAATTCAAAGTAAAGCATACACTATAACGCAAACAACAACTGAAACACAAGGAACTTGATGTGATACTCTAGAAGAACCAAGAAAAAAATCAGCGCTTTTTAACGTATCAGATTCAAAGAAGGTTAATTTCACCTGTAGCCTCAAGCCTTAAACACAATTCAATATATAAAAATCCTATTCTGTTTAAAAAGGCAAAAAAAAAAAAAAAACAACCTTCCCACACAACAATATTATGTCAAATACTGTATTACGTTGTCATGCCTCATTCATAACATATGGCCAGCGCACTGTTTTCTGCTGGCAGCGGACCAGAGAACACAAAAGTTCCATAAAATGTTACAAAGCCAAATCTAGCAAACAACGGATTCACGCAGCCTCCATCAAAGAAGAACAAATATAAACTTATTAATCATCAAATACCATCAAACCCCCATGATCCCGGCAGAGAATCACTAATCAAATGATCAAAGAAAAACAAAAGCATCCACAAACAGAAACAATGCACGGAAGCCGGTTCGACAGCGAGGGAATGAAGAAAACGTTGGTTATACAAGAACAAAACAATTAAGAGCAAAAGAAGGGATAGAAGCTCAAGCTCACGGTTCTGAGACGCGATAACAGAGGAAACGATAGCTCTCGCCGCCTCAAGTTTCGGATCAACGCTGCGGACGCCATCGCCGACTCCGCTCCGTGTAACAGAACACAGGGTCTCTCTCTAGGGTTTTAGGGGGGCTTTCGTCCCTCTTCGAGAACGCTAGCGTGAGTAAAAATAAATGGTTGGAGTGTGTAGAGACTTCCGGAAATTTAATCTCTATAACTAATTAATATATAAGATATTATAAAATGAGAAATATTGAAATTACATAAAAATAAGTTCAAATATATTTTTTTAATAAAAAACTAATTACATCAAATTTATTGGCGAAAATAATTGTCATTTTCAAATGGCATTTTCTTATAATTCTTTTAATAAAGAATCTATGTTAGTGGATTTTAGGCCATAATAGTTTTTATTTTTTTTAAAATATAGTTGCAAAAACATAAAACTAAAATAAACAGCCAATTTAATACGTAGATAAAAACTTTTAAAATTATTATTTGTTAAATTAATTCATAGTTCATACACATATTTTTATATTTTTAAATAGATTTTTTTATATTTAATATTTGAGGGAGCTACTTAAATCTTAGCTAGTCATAAAATTGACACTCATGCTATATAGTGTTTATTTGATTATGTCACTATGAAATTGTTAGAAACTTGACAAAAGACAAAATATATGTTAAGACTTGTTATAAACTTTAATATTTATGTAAGAATTTGAAATTTTGAATTATTGAGGTCAACTTTAGAGTCAAAAAAGTTTTCAAAATATATGTGATTTTAGTAAGTATAGATCTAGTGAGAGAATTATGACTGGACGATCAAGATATTAAAAAAGCACATATATTATAACAAAACAACAGATATTGTAACAGCCTAATATTTTGAAAATTGATATATCATTAAAAAAATCTTGTTCAAGCACAAATATAGAGGCAATTTTAATTTGAAATGTTTCAAAATTAAATTCGAAGCTGTTTGAACTCCAATTTTAGCAAACTTATAGTCGAATTGAGCATCTCGAACATATGAACACAACGACACCAAATTTTGGTCCATTCTGAGCATAAACCGTCGTCAAACTTTCGTCCGTCCACCGACCGTCGTTAGACTTCCGCCCGACCATCGTCCAACTTATGCCTGACCGCCTAATTGTCACCAAACTTCCGCTCGGCAACCATCAAACTTATGTCAGACTGTTGTTGTGTCATAACCCAACCCGATAAAGACAAGTCATGTCATGTTGAGCTGTTACAAAGTCAACTAAAACATTCAAATACTAAAAATAAATTAACTCATAAATTATTATTTTTTTTTTAATCAAAATGTATCTACACTATAGTATATAATTGTTCAAAAATTAAAAGAGAAATATCCATAAACTCATATCTGATCATAAACTACTAGTTAATAATCTCATTCTCTTTCTTAGATTCTGAAAATCAGTAGCAAAATCACATTGAGCTATAATAGCTCAACAGACCACACAACTCGGGTTTGATCAAAACCCGACCCACCGACTTGTTTTGACACCCCTAGTCTTTTGTACTCATGAGTGGAAATATGAGTGTTATATTTGTATGATTTATGAATATTGCATACATTGGTGGATCCCCATATTAGTGAGGGGGGGGGGGGGGGGGGGAAGGGGGGGGGGGGGGGGGGGGGGGGGGGGGGCAAATGGCCACCCTAAAAAAAAAATTAATTTTAGAGGGTGTTTTTCGAAATATTTTGAGTATTTTGGATATTTTGCCCCCTCTCAAAAAATTTGTTTGCCCTAATTTTATTAATCCTAATCATTTTTGTCCATCTCCTACGAAAATTTTTTTTCCCACCCTAAAAAAAAAAGCTGGACCCACCCCTGATTGCATATAATTTTTAGAGTATGAATATATATGTATATTGATGTTTTGATAAATTGATTCATTTACATTAATATTTAATTATTGAAAGAAAATAAATAGCTCTCATTGCCATTATTAAAAGATAAAATATATAATTTTTTTAAAATTAGATTTTGGAGAATGTTAGTTATTGAAAATAAAATGCATTTTACACTACTAAAGCGATTATAGTGTTCCTATTTTATTCTACAAAATCGCCCTAATGACTATTAGAATAATTTCTCACTCGGCGTCCCATAGTTCACCAAAATCATAGTTTTAATAATTATACCATATTATTATATATTGTATATAATAGTATTCTTAGGCTTTAACTAAACTAAATCACTATTTTAAATGTAAATACATAATTCTAAATTGATTAAAAATACAACTTTTTAAAATCATTAACGAAAAGTCTCGAATAAATACTCAAAATGATCAAAATAATCGTATCGACGACATATCAAAAGTTACACCAATAAAATTGACTAGAATCCAAGAAAATCACATTTTTGTAAAAACCAAGTTATAATTTCGATTAGAATAATTCCCAAAACTTCGAGTTATTGAAAGCTAAGATAGGCAAAGCATAACCTATCCCGACCCGAGCAACTTTCTAAACTAGGCTGTTAGACGAAAATAACCCTTAGCCATCTGAAACGGACATTGTCTCGATAGAAAACGCTCATACAGTTTAAGAGAAATGAAATGAATGGAATAGCATATTAGAGTATTTTTATTATTAAAATTTAGCTTAGCATCGCGACGCCTGTCACGACACTGCTTCAAAAAGTTCACAATACAACCTCAAGGGTCGCTGTACTAAATTAATTATAAAATTCTAGAGAGAGCTTGGCACCAAGACGGCTCCAACCCTAATGTGGCGACGCCCCAAGGCGTACAATTTATAGATTTCCAAACCTATAAACAAACCCCTAAGATCCACAACAGATCACCTATAGATTCACATGCACATAAAACACTTTCAAATACATGTAGAAGGGGTTCAAAAGCAATAGTTTAGTGGGTTTTCTCAAGTCCGATCGGATCATAACATGCAGAAATGTATACTGATACTGGAGGTGCCACATTGGTGGACTTGTAATGCTTTTATGATGCAAAATGTTGGCAACTAAAAGAGAAGCATAAAATTAAGATAAGTGTTGTAGAGAGTATGCTCAATCGGACGAGTAGCTTCACTCTTACCGGCATAATGCAAAATGAGCATATGCATGAAAAATGTTGGAGTTGCTCTAGTGGAAGATAAGATTAGAGTGATTCACCTTAGATGGTTTGGTCACATAAACCGTCGGCCTTCCTATGACTCGATTAAGAGAATAAATATATTCTATTTGAGCTATGTTAAAAAAGGCATATATAAATATAAAAATAACTTGATTAGAAAGTATTAGAAATAATATTATTTTAATATATTAAAAGAAAATTGATTCTTAAGAAGATAATAATAGAAAAAAAATTCATGCAGCTGATCTTATGTAATGAGATAAATATTTGATATTGTTATTTGTATGTAATGATGAAAAATAATAATTAAGTGTGAAGATTGCTCTGAAACTTATAACATATTAGATGAAAAAATTCTTTGAAATTTTTTAATAGGCTGAATTTGAGTGCTCATTTTATTAAAAAAAGAATGTGACCATTGCATTGCAAGTGTGATCAATTAATATACAGATTTTAAGTCGACTGAAGAGCAAGCAAATGCTCTGCCACTCACCGTCCATCTCGATCTCAACGGTTATAAATTGCCAGCGGATCTAAACTCCAAACCCATCGACCATTTACACCAACTATAACATGGCGCACTCGCTCTCTTTCTCTCTCATCTCCTCCTTCCTTCGTCCATTTCCCACGCTGACCTCCGAGCTTCCGGCGAACTTCCGGTCGTTCTTTTCCGTCAATCCATCCTTCAGTCGGGAGAAGATCACCCTAAAATCCGCCGCATTCAGTTCTGTTCAGTCTTGCCGGCTATCAACAAGCGCCTTGATGGCTTCTGGGACAACACCTCCGGGAGTGTTGACGAAGGGGGATTCGGAGCTTCTAGTGTTTGATAACGAGGAGGAGCTGTCCAATTCTCTGGCCAAATACACGGCCGATCTGTCGAAGAAGTTCTGCCTGGAGAAGGGAGCTTTCACCGTCGTACTGTCCGGCGGCTCTCTCGTTAAATCACTCAGGTTCTTGTGGGTATATATTCATGGATATTTTTATTAAAAATCCTTTTTTCTGGTCTTTTTCGCATTTGTTGACGCCCATGGATTTACAGGAAGTTGGTTGAGACTCCCTATGGGGATTCCATTGATTGGGGGAAGTGGCACATTTTTTGGGTTGATGAGAGGGTTGTACCTAAAGATCACCCTGACAGCAATTACAAACTTGTCTTCGATGGTTTTCTTTCCAAGGTACTTGACAAATTCTTTTATTTCCTCTCTGTTATTATTGCTTCGTTTTGGCTCATTGAACCCTAGCTCAAATTGCTAGTTTGTGAAGATCTCTACTTCTGGCCGTTGGGTGCTACCTTTTTAGTTACTGTAGATGGTATTATTTCCCTCATGTATAATGCTTCCAAGTTGCAACTGTAAATGCTTGGATTTTTTTAGAGGAGCGTAGTGTTAATTTAAATTAGGAATAGGTGCAAAATATTTAAAATATTTAAAAAGAAGCAAACTAGCTGAATCATTTGGTGCATTCAATGCTGCCAGTTAAATTAAAGTCTGAAAATACCGTAACAATGTGTCAAATAGTTTGGCACTATTTGGTGTGCCAAACTGTTTGGCTTATTCTAAATACGTCAAACAGTTTGGTGCATTCAATGGAATGCGCCATTCTTTTTAGTTAGTTTTATTCTTTTTAAAAAAATTTATACTTTGTTCATATTCCTAATTTAAATTATACACCATGAGCTATTTATAATATTACGTAAATGCTTTTAGCTGTATTTGGAACTGCAGCTAAGATAAAAATTCCAGAAAACCCCCATTATCTGTATTTCTGCTTGCAGTGTCAAATTGCAGCAAATGTATTAAAACTGCAGAGTTTTGTTTGCAAGTCATAGCGTAGTTATGGAAAGTGCTGCAAACTTGTTTCTCAAAACTGGCAGTGTAATGTAATTCTAATAACTAAGGGTTTGTTTGGTCAGTTTACATCTACTTTGTAATGATGTATTGATGTGGCATTAACGATTTTCAATTATTTAATTTGGTGTCATTTTTAATAACAAATTTAACAGTGGCATATAAGTTCTATTTGATATATGGATGCCAGCCAAATCCATGAGATTTATATTTCAGGCAATCTAATGACGACAACAACAACAACAACATCAAGCCTTTATCCCACTACGTGGGATCGGCTACATGAATCCTTTTTCTCCATTGTGTCTTATTAAAAGTCAATCTAATGACTATGAAATGATAAATAAATAATAATAATAATAATAAAAAAACATTGAAGGCCATTTATCATGGTAAATAACAATGTATTCTGTAAGCATTATAACATTGAACCCAATGCACTGGATTTAATAGATAATAATGTTCAGTGAACAACATTTTTATTTGGATAGCAACAACAACAACATCAAGCCTTTGTCCCACTACGTGGGGGCGGCTACATGAATCCTTTTTCGCCATTGTGTCAGGTTAAAAGTTAAATTCTCATTTAAACCTAATAAAGAAAGATCATCTCTAATATTTTATAACCAAGTCTTTTTAGGTCTACCTCTACTTTTCTTAACATAAGTCAAATCTAATACCTCAACTTTCCTAACCGGGTCATCGGAAGGCCTCCGTTTAATGTGACCAAACCATCTAAGGCGACTCTCTCTAATCTTATCTTCCATTGGAGCTACTCCACTTTTCACGTATATGCTCATTTCGTATCCTATCTCTAAGGGTCAAGCTACTCATCCACCTAAGCATCCTCATCTTTGCAACACTATTTTAGTCTCTTCGGAGACATCCGATAAAATTGGAACAATTTTATCTAGATAGCATTGCTATTTAAATAATACTGAGCCAAAACCCCCTTAAATACTTTCTTAGAGAATTTTTTATTGGTATTTTAGTGTTTGTTTTGCATTTGTTGCTCGCAAAAGTAAATTATTCTTGAATTGTGCCTCTTAAAGCTTAATTTGACTCAAATTAATTTGATTTCAAGTTAATTTCAAACTCTACTTCAAACTACTTCTAGTTTGCTTTGACCCACTCAAATATAGTTCGAGTTGACTTGAAAATGAAATCTAACTCAAAATAAGTGTATATATATATAAATATAATTTATATTGTATATAATATAATATATGCATCATGTATTATACACACACATGTTTGATTTAAATATAAAATTCTATTCAACTTGAAGTATAATCTTTTGGAGTTGAGTTGACTCGAAATGATTTTGATATTGAGTTGAGCATTTAATTTTAATTTTGAGTTTGAGCAAGCCTAATTCGCTTAAAATTAATTTGACATCACTCGCAATATCATTGTTAATTCGTTGGAGTGAATTAATTGATATGTTATGCAAATCTCTCATGGCATCATGATGCTTGGTGGCCCGAGATTGAGAGGGATGACTGTTGACAAATCATCCTCTTTAATCCAAGATGTTAAGGGGTGTATGTTTTTAAGGACCTCCTCATGCCTCTACCCATACCCTCTACTTAGCTCCTCCTTAGGAATAGGCTCTAGGGAAAGCATTCTCTTCTCAATCCAGAATCCTCGCCTCTTAATCTTCCTTTTGCCTTATCAGATTAGGATTTTTCCCACTTCCTTAGTTGCCAGTGGCTTCCCTTACCTCCGATGACATCGTTTTGGGTTGGCCCTCGAGCAACTTCTTCAACATCTCCTCCAAGATTGAAAATTTTATATCAATCTTCTCGTAGAGGCTGAAATTTTACTTTTAAAATCTGAAAGTTTAATTTGGATATCGAAAATTTCAAATTTCAATTGTCCGATATCACCTTTCAATTTCTACATTTATTCCTGTCATAGATACCCGAATTTAGGCACCACTAGCAAAAAGCAACTACTTTGATATGAATTTGGCCTCCAAACAACAAAAAAACAAGAAGATCAGAGAGGGAAAATAGCCGAAATCAACAAGAAAGAGCTCAATTTCAGCCCAAGAAACTACTATGATACCAATTTGATATGCCTTGTAAACAAAAATAGCACACAACAAATAGGAAAACTGCAGTAAAACCAAAGAGGTGGCTGATTTTTTATAATACTTCAATAAGAAACAACAAGATACATGTGATCTACAATTCGAGAGGTAGATCGTCTCTTCTAATCAACCTAGATGCCACTAGGAAGCTCTTATAGAAAAGAACTCCAACAAAACCAAAACTCATTAATAACATGCTCCTAAAACCTTAGACAACTCTGATATCCCTATAACACAATAATATAAATAGAACATTACTAAACAATCTAAATCTAATTTAGGAAACATTCCTAAACAATTAAACATAATTTAAAAAATCTTCCTAAACAATTAAACATGACATAGAAAACCTTCCTAAATAATTAAACAGTTTCTCCTTGATTTTTCCTCCTCACATAATGAATAATAGCTTCCTTGTGTCCCATAAGGTGGGCCCCCCCATGACGTATCAACTTCCCATCTATCTTTTCATGAACGACTGAAAATTGATTTTAAAATTTAGAAATCTCTCCACAAAATCTGATCTTAATTGTCCCATCTCTCCTTCCAATACTTCCATTTTTCTCCCATCCATAGCTACCACGAATCGATGCGCTTTGATACCAATTTGATAGGAAATACTTGTAGGAAATAGAAAAAAATCCTTTGTTGAAATCTGAATTCAGCAACTAGCAAAACGGCTTTTTTGAGAAGAAAGTAAATGCATATCAATAGGTATACTCTTTATTTGATAGTAGATAAAAGAAAGCAAGCAAGATATAATGGATCTTCGATTTGAGAGGAAGATCCATTATATCTTGCTTGGTTTCTTTCATCTACTATCAAATAAAGAGTTTCCCTATTGCTATCCACCTGCTTTCTTCTCAAAAGCTATTTCATGGCTCTCCCAATCCCTATCCGGCGGCTAGAGACCAAAACCTAAGAGAAATCTGAAATTTCAGCAAAATCCCCAAAATTGCTAACCCTAGCCACCAATTCCTATATATGCATACAATTAATTAAGCAAAATACCCAAACAGCCCTTCTAATTTAAATTTCCCTCCTAATTTCTCCTTAATTTCCTCTCTTAATTGCTATTACATGTTGCTAGGCCCCACAGGGACGGAGGTGTGGTTTGTTTGGGTGGAAGCCTTTCTCCTGGAGTAATAGCAGGCCGGTCCCTGCTGGACTAGCTAGACCGTTCCCTCTTGGACTAGTCTAACAAAACCCCACTGTCTTTCCACTCTAATTTTATAAACCCAAAGAAGGTGCTCTCAGATTTTGTCTCCCCTAAAGTTGTGGTCGACCAGCCTCCAAGCTACAACCCTCCAAGTGCCAACAATTTGAAGCTTTAATTGATGCCATACCAAGGCCACATCAAATTGGTATTAGAGCCAAGGCTGAGAATTTGACAATTCACGGCAAGGAACAATGATGATGTTAGACCGGTCCACTGGACCGGTCCAGCCGGTCCAGGCGGTGGCTGCTGTTGGCTGCTGTGGACAGCAGTTTACTGCTGAAATTTTACTGATTTTGGTGAGAAACACTTGGAAATCCAAGTGTTTCCTATCAGATGATTGGATATGGAAATCAAGCGGCCACCTTGCTTCCCGTACATTTCAAATTAAAATTGACCAAAATTGTTCTTGGTTCATTTTAAACTTGCCCTTTAATGAGATGAAACATTCTATTTTCCATGTCGTGTTGGATAATGTATGTCAGGTTGCAGTTATTAGAATTATTCCAAATAAATAACTTATGAAACCGGTCAAATCTTTAAAATTATATCTTTCAACACCATAATTGGTTCTATGTAATGGACAAACAAAGTTCTTCTTTGGAGATAATCCAAATAATTAGCTTTGGTAATTACATATACCTTGCCTTTCGTTGTTAACTTGTTATGCTTAAAAAATATAAGAAATATTTAATTACATTAACTCTATTTCTTGTGATGCAAATCAAGGACGTTTTGAGTATTATATTTTCTTTTCTATATATAATTTGCTATGATTATAGATTTATAGTTATAGTTTTGTCATGCCTATAATGATGCCTATCAGAACAAATTGTGTTATTTGGTGTGCATAATCTCTCCCCCCTCCACTTGTCTGGTTTATTTCCCAATGTTGTCTTGTGTTATTGTTTTGTAATGCCTATAATGTCTTTTTTGTTGGTTTGAATCTTTGCTTTGCCTAGTTCTAGTTCTGTGCCACTGCCTTTATTCCAGTGCTTTTAAGACTATTGTTATACCAGACTAATATGTTAATTATTGGCATCATTTTCTTTAGTGTTTGATTGTCCCGAAAAAATATATAAATGTACTGTACTTTTTTTAGAAAAAAATATTTCTTCCTCAAAGTCCCAAAAATACATTTTTTTAAAATAATACGCGCATGAAATATCAAATGACTTAAAAATTTGACATTCTCAAAAACAGTTTTACAAGTCGAGCTGATTTATGTGCAATGGTTAATATTTCTTGCAATGATTCTCTTTTAGCCTGAGAAAATTTTGTTATTTTGATTAGATATTTGAGAACATATTTTTAATGCTTTATGAATGTTAGGTTCAAATCCCCGCCGGCCAGGTATATGCCATCAATGATTCCCTATCAGCAGCAGGTGCTGCAGATGACTATGAAAGTTGTCTAAAACACCTAGTTAACGAAGGAGTACTGCTGCTATCACCGGCAACAGGGTTTCCAAAGTTTGATCTTATGTTATTGGGAATGGGTCCTGATGGTCATATAGCTTCCCTTTTCCCTGGACACATTCTTCTCACTGAAAATGAGCGTTGGGTTACTTTCATTAATAACTCCCCAAAGCCTCCACCTGAGAGAATAACTTTCACTTTTCCTGTTATCAATTCTTCTGCTTATGTTGCACTTGTTGCTACTGGAGCAGGTAAAGCTGATGTTGTGCATCAGGCTTTTGGCAGCAAAAACTCTTCTTCTGTCTTGCTACCTGTTCAAATGGTTAAGCTAGATAATGGGATACTAACCTGGTTCGCTGATAAAGCCGCGGCTTCGAAACTGTAAGATAAGGTAAGCCATTTAAGGTCGTTTTATTATGCTAATGTTAGCCTTGAGTTTGTGAATTCAATAATTCATGTGGTAGTCTGTGTTCTCAGCATAAACTGATTCTATCTATGCTAGTATGTTGAATATTATTAATGTGGCGGTGCAGTGTAACTTTTTGACGGATTACCTATTTTGGATACTTGTAGTATCTTGAGATTTTACCGTTATATCGTGCTTCTTATATGTAGATGTAGTATACATATGATACTTACAATGAGGACCTATTCTTGGGGACTGCTACTCATAATCAATCCTTTTGTATTACTGCTTGTGTTAATCACTTGGGGTTAAATAAAATAGTAGTTGATCATGGTGTCCAGTAATTGGAAATCGTAATGAATGTAAAGAATCTTTCTCAGTTTAAGATATACATAAAAAGGCTGTGTTCTCATGAACAGGGTGAGAAGGCGTTCCGTTTTTGATTGATAATCTCATAGCTGAAATTATGTTTCATATTATTCACTTAGATTCTTTTTTAGCGCCCTTTCAAGTAATAATCTCTTTAGGGCATCTCCAACCGAACGCCAAGTATGCTTATGGCGTCGTTTGGTCACTCCAGCCGAACGCCAAATCTTCCTCTATCTGCTTGCGGGTGAACAGTACAACATTGGTGTTGCACTGTTCACCCACACGATTTTTCTGTCTCAACCGAATTTGGCGAAGAAACGCGTGAAAGAGTAGAAACACGGTTACCTTCGTAGAATCGTGCAAAATGGAGTTTGATTGGAGATTGAATCATGACATTTTTGAGTTTCACTGCATTTTGAAGTGAAAAATGAGATTTTCGGTTGGAGAAGGCCTTAGTCAATAGTATAGAAATGACATGCATACCGGGATTAGCACATAGGGGTGCTTGTAAAGAATATAGATAAATCATTCCATTTAGCTTTGAGGCTGGTATTCTTAAATCACATGCTAAATGATAGTAGCTAAAATGGTAAGTTCAATTATCGAGGCGAGGGAGATGCTATCACGGTGGACATCTATCATGAGCCAAACTTGTATTGCAAAAAACTCATATAAGGCTTGAAATGGAATTTATTTTCAAACATGAATGATGTATAATGTATTTGAAACATTTGATGATGACATTCGTTCAAATACCAACACAGATACTTTTCCTTTCTACAATGCAAGAAGGAAATGGTTATGATTGTGAGAGTGATTTTCCTTTTCTGAAGATTTTGATCTTTCCAGACTACCTCATAAGGGTACCTCCGCAAAAGGAGCATGTAGTCTTACTAGGAAAAATAGATTTTATCATCTCTAGGAGTTTGTTTGGGATAGCTTTGTCCTAGCTTTATTTTACGAATCACTGTCAAAATTTTGTTTTTAAAAAATTTTTGTGATTAAAAATTTTTCTCAGTCAGATTTATTAGAATGTGATAATTATATAAAAATTTGTCCTGATTTATTGTAAGGAAAAATCTATTATACCACAACAACTTTCAAAAGTTAAGTTTTTCCACAGTTTAACCACTAAACGTAAAAGTAGTTTCAACTATGTCAACCCAAATGAAATGGAATTGAGGAAGGATGGTTTGGGATAAGACTGCTCATAATGCCATAAATACACACACAAACACTATTTTTCGAGTCAGCGAAACGATGAATATCCCTCAAAAGGACTAATTATTCTGTGCAGACACCGGACGGAGAGAATCGTCAGGATTTACTGTCCTTTTGATGGCAAATATTTAATATTTACTAAATAATTGAATATTTGTTGCGCTTATGCTGCGCTTTTGTAATATGATAGCAAAATGAAAGTAAAAAACATTCATAATTGAATATTTACTGCCATTTTGTAAAAGCGCAGCAAAAGTGCAGTAAATCCGGACGGTTCTCTCCATTCGGTGTCCGCACATAATAATCTTTTCAAAAGAAGGTGGCTTCCCTTTGATGTACTTTTACTGCTTCAGATATATTTCATATCTGACTTTGATTGTCACAAGTAAATTGGAAGATACAAAAAAACAACATATATCATTTACTAAAGTAATAGTTGTATGCAGAGATAGTGCAAATTTAAACCTTGAAACTTTAAGTCTTAAAATATGCCGCGTGTAATTACTAGAAATGAACAACCTATAATGCGTGCACAAAATATTTAACAAGAGCAGTGAAAATGGGAGAAATTTTAGTTCAGGATATTCTGATTTAAATTTGATTAGAATTATTTGTTTGGCCATTAATTTTGTTTTGTGATAAATGCAATATATGATTGATTTACACTTATCTCAAATCAAATTCATTAATCAAGGAAACACGCCCCAATAAAATCTGAATCAGAATATGCTGACCCAATTTTTTTCCTTAAATAGACCTTAAATTTAGAAAATGAAAGAGACTGACTGATCTGATACTTGAAATAAAGGATATAGTCATCCTGTAATTCTAACACCACCTCTTCTTATTGAGAAGAAAAACATATAGAAATCTTCCCACTACTTTCCTTCTTTCTTTTCCTCCTCCTCAAACGCAGAAGCTGGAAATGACCTTCCCAGTCCCACAGTAGTCTTAAAATAGATTCTCTTTCCATCATCAAGGCTACTCATCTCAACAATAGGCACCCAAATCAACATCTGCTTACTCTTCACACCAGTCATTCTCTTCATCTTCCCTTTCTCAATATAAGCTGTCACTTCCTGAGCATAGCTTACCTTAGTATTAGTCCCCTTAAAGAAATGCTCATAAGGGGCCTTCTGCTTCATCCACACAAACCCAGTTGCTCGAACCCGGCCGCACTCTTCCAGGTCTTGGAGAGGCATTACTCCCTTAGGGAAGCCAAGCTCCTCCAGTAAATCCATGGAGTTTTGATAGCATGCCTCGCCTCCGCGAATGATTTCTGCTCCTTCTCTCTCTTGGAGTTTTGTTGTTTCTGCAACTGTGCCCATCTTCTTATTCCAGATTTGATTTTGGTGTGATTTGCTCTGTGGTTTTTATGAAGAAGGGAAGGGAGGGGTTGTTGCCTGGGAGATCAACTAACTTCTGTATGGATAGGTGCTCTGAGAGCAACCATTGATATAAATAATATGGTTTGGTGCAGATTTGCTGAAAAGAGTGGTACAGAAGCGTTGGGAGTTGGTGAGTCAATTCAAACTCTTTGGGCCAAAATGGAGAAGTAGTTCAACAATTCACAGTTTATTTATTATCTATTTTAATTTAATTATCTTTAAATTATAATTATATGATGTTTTTCTTTACTTTTACTTAAGTTTTTTTATTTTTTTATGTTTATATTCTATTTCATATATATTCTATATATTTGTTGTGTAGGTCTACTTATGGTTAATTTTGTGTAATTTATTTTTTTCATGGCAAAAAAAAAAGGTGAAAAATGAGATTTTATTATTCTTTTATAAAAGCGTAGGGTTGACTTCATGTTGTATATTAAAAATTATGATTGTAATACTTCACAATTAAAATCATAGTAAAATATACAATGATGATTAATTGATTATGTAAGGACATCTTTATACAAATTGTGATCAGATTAGGGAAGTTTATAGTAATATAGTTATATTATAGATGCTATTATATTTAATTATATCTAAGTTTTTTGTCACAACATATTATTATATCGAATTATGGAGGTCAACTTTAGAGTTTAAAAGTTTTCGCTTGAGTAGATCTAAAACTGAATATATGGAGTGTAATTTTAGTATCAATAGACCTAGTAAGGAGATTTTGACTTTGGGCGATCAAGTCATTAATAAGAGTACATGTTTTAGATATCTTGGATCTATTATACAGAGTGATGGTGAAATAGATGGGAATATTATTAACAGAATTCATATTGGATGGTTGAAGTGGAGGAATGCATCGGGCTTGTTGTGCGATAGAAAAGGCCCCCTCAAACTTAAGGGAAAATTCTATGAAGTCAACCCTATTGTGTAAGGATATCTTAATACAAATTGTGATCAGATTTGGGAAGTTTTTAGTAATATAGTTATATTATAGATGCTATTATATTTAATTGTATCTAAGTTTTTGTCACAACATGTTATTATATGACATTGTTATTATTTCAATTTAATACAATATTTTTTGTTAAAATTTTGGCCTATGTTGTGTATATCTAATTAGGTTATAATTATTGTGTTTGTATTATGCTACAGTTGTTTAATAAATGTGAATTTTGTTTGAATATTGAATGACTTATATTTGAACTTGCCATCCAACTATCTTAAGCTTCGTTTGGGACTATTTTTTTGCTGCTTCTTAAACCAGTTTTCAAGAACAAAATTAAAATTTTTATACTAAAAAGTTGCTTTAAAAACAGCTTAGCTTGGTCTGTTAGTTGGGAGCTTAGGCTACAAACTAAGAGGTCTTGGTTCGAGTCTTGTCTTAATTACAGTAACTTTTGTGTGTGAGTCTGCCTTAGACTTCGCTTGGGACGATTTTCTTACTGCTTCTTAAAACAGTTTTTTAGTATAAAACTTTTAATTTTTGTACTAAAAAGTTACTTTAAGCAGCAGTAAAAAAACAGTCCCAAACGAAGTCTTAGTCCAATGTTATTCGAACATGTTTGATAATCGAAGTTTTTTTGAATGAGAACTATTGATGTTTGATTATGATTCAAAGAATGTGACTATGGATTGAATTTTATTCGAATGTTATTTACTTATTTATATCATTTTAAAGCTCTTTTTCTAATTTAAAAAAAAAATCTTGAACTTAAAAGTTTTAGTATTAAAAATTTCTTTAGAAAACATTAAGAAAGTCGTCTCAAATGAAGCCTAAATTGCACGCACTTCTTGCTTAGAGCTGGAGACTATATTAATGGTGTTAACGGATTTGATCTTGCTCTCCTGTTTTTTGAACGGTTGATGTATAGGTGTTGGCCTTTACCTCAAGTTAAATATGATGGCTATATCAAAGAACTTTATATGTGAAGCTTTTGTATTTTAAAATATTAATTCATTTTTATGATATTAAATGGCTTAGTGAATGATTAATTCAATACAAACTCTTGAGTCTTCCTTATTAACATTTTTAATGGTTTTTTAGCCTCTAATCACATACTCTCATATTTTATAAATCAATTTTAAATATTTTAAAATCTAAACTTTTTTTAATTAATTAAGAGCAATAATGTCTACATAATTTTCTACCAAAAAAAAACATTTGTCATCACTAAGTGATATCATTATATATATATAAATATTTCTATATGATTTGTTTGAGATTAAGTGTTAGTTTGGGGCAACTTTCTTACTGCTTCTTATATCAGTTTTTTAGTAAAATATTAAATTTTTTGTACTATAAAGTTGCTTTAAATAGTAAGAAAGTCGTCCCAAATGAAGCTTAAAACTTCATTTGTGGTGGTTTTATTACTATTTCTTAAAACATTTTTTAGTACAAAAATTTTAATTTTTTAATTAAAAAGTCGTGTTAAGAAACAACAAGAAAGTCAATCTCAAACGAAATCTAAATGTGATATAATAATTTTTAAAATAATTATTCTTTCATTAATTAATAAGAATTACTTCTATAATAATCCAAATGATTATAATGCAAGATATAATTAAAAAAAGATAAAATCAGTAAATTAATACACTATTTTGATAATGTGCCATATAAAAAAATAATAAATTGAATTAATAAATAAATAATTTAAACATTTATTAAATAACATAATATTTTTAAAAATAATTTTTTTAACTTAAGTCACTTCAAAAATATAATCTTTAGACTAGTTTGAGTGCTATTGTTGGCTGCAAGCCGCCTATCCTCCAACGCCCATGCATTCTCATCGACGACAATGACTACTTGGTGCCTGTCAGACTAGCAATGACGCCCTCCGGCGGCCCTTGCTTGACATTGTTGGTCGCCGGTGATCGCCCTCGCATGCATGTCGTTGTTAGCCACCGGCCGGCCGATCGTCGATCGTTCGATGCAAAGGTAAAGACCAATACTGCTCAATGTCTGTCAGCTAATGATCGTCCGATGTG